ATGAGGTGTCTAGACTCTTTGAATTTAAGCGCAGTACTAGACAATTTTAGGTCAGAGTATGTGGAAGATAACGGTTGACCCTAGAATTGAACAGGTTAAGATATATAAAAATCAAACAAAGATATCTAAGTTATTATGAAATTTATCAAACATGTGCATATGTAGATATTCACTGATGTACTTTGTAAAAAAAAAAGACCTGAAATAAACATTAATGATCCATGTACAAAAATTAGGCTTGTTAAATTTTATCAAAGTTTGAACCCTTGTTCAGTAATATTAGTTAACATGAAATATAAGTTTTATAGAACAAAAATCTGAATAAATTAATTAATAGAGACCTCCTCTCTGCCTTCCATCAGCATAGCTGATCCTAACCTCGAGGAAAGTGATTTGTTATGCCTTCTTGGGCTAATGTTCTCAGCTGACATGAAATGGAAAGACTATATTAAATCCATTGCTAGGTCAGCTGCTAAGAAAGTTGGTTTATTGTGTTATGCAAGACAATTTTTCTCTCCAGAATCTATCATACATATCTATAAGCCTACCATTCACCCATGCTTAGAATATTGATGCCACATATGGTCTGGTACCCCTGCTATTTACCTTGAGCTCCTTGATAGAATCCAAAGAGGAATCAGCAATTTTGTTGGTCCTAATCTGGCGGCTTGGCTTCACTCACTTTCCCACCACTGTAAGGTTGTCTCTTCGTGCCTTTTCTATAAATAATTTCATGGTAATTGTTCAGATGAGCTCTTCAATATGGTACCTAGACTTTTGGAATTTAAGCACAGTACCAGACTGGCTAGATGTAGCCATAAGTTCTATGCTAATAATTTCTTTTCTTACACTTCTTGTTTGTGGAAATCTCTTCTGGCTCCCTGATTTCCAGTCAACATTTATCTGCAAAACTTTAAATGCAATGTCAATCGCTATCTACTGTCCTCCTGATTACTCTTTCCTCTTCCAGCTCATTATTAATGTTTCTGTTCCTAATTCTTCCACACCCTGTAACTCCTTGTATCTTAGTGGCTTTATTGCCTTGCTTGGGGTGATATGGATTAAAACAAAACACAACTGTATATAATCGTGTATAAGGCTACTTCATATATAGTAAGACCCCTGCATTCTTTTTGTGAAAAACCTGATTTTTTCATATAACTTGTGCATAATTCAACCCCAGCTTCTGATAAAGGAGGGTTTGGAAAATTTGATACTCCCAAGACAGATTGAAGTCAAAAAGGAAAGAGGAAAACAATGCATAACCTACCTAGTGGGCTTGAGGTTTTGGAGTGATAACAAAAAGAGAAAATTTATTAAGATTTACAAAGGAGAGGAAATTGTGGAGAGCCATGATTACCAACATCCTAAAGCGATATGGCACATAGAGAAAGAAGAATGAGGTGGTGTAAATAGATGGCAGGACACGGTTTAGGAGAGATAAAAAGAAGAGAAAATTTATTGAGTGCTACAAAAGACAGGAAACTGTGGAGAGCCATGATCGCTAACATCCTGAAGGGTCAAGGCATACAGAAGAAAAAAAAAATGAGCTAGTGTAAATGGATTGCAGAACAAGGTTTAAGAGAAATAAAAAAAAAAAAAAAAAAAGAAAATTTACTAAGAGCTATAAAGTAGAGGAAGTCGTGGAAAGCCATGTTCACCTAATGGGACATGGCACATAGAAGATGAATTATAATATTAGTCATTTCCTTATAAGGAAACATTCAGCATTCATTGACTGAGCAGCCAGTGTTAAAAGTTACGCTTTCCTTCACTACCTGGCCATAGATAATTGCCATGGAAATAATTTTACAGAAGTGATAGGCTTGCGAAATTGCATCCGTGATTAAGAGGTTGATGAGTGAAGTCTTCCCCTCCCCCACGACCATCAGAATGATTTTGTACTCTATCCCAAGCCTATCTACCGTGGGGTCACTCTGGGCTTGTCCATTACATACAAGGATCATATTGTAAAGGTTAAAGCCAAGTTTAAATTGAGAAATAACATCGTAAAGAAGCTGGCTAAAAACTAAATGAGGTACCCATGCCGTTACAATCTGCACAACTGAATGACACCTTTTACTAGACTTGTATATTTTTGTAATGTCAGTGGACACTTGTTGCCACTTTTGTAATGCTCGTTTTACTAGAGACTTTGTAATCACAGATACAATTATAATATGCCGTTGAACAATACTGGTGTCAGACGCCTTCAAATAATCTCGCATCCTTAGTACTTGCTCGATAATAGTCGCTTGAATAGTAATCCGTATAGTGATCCGAATAGAGAAATAGTATAGTGAATAGAGTAGAGAATAGCGCTCCGTATAGTAATAGAGGAGAAATAGCGATCCGAATAGAGGAATAGTATAGTGAATAGAGTAGAGAATAGCAGTCCGTATAGTAATAGAGGATAGACTAGTAATGCAGATCAATTAGACGTCATGTGACTTCCTACTTATGCGTTTCCTCTAGGGTCATGTGATCCACTTAATTCAATAATGTGATTGCCTGTGTTTGCTCACTGGCGATCTATGTTCAAACTCAAGTGTCGACAGCGACACTTCATTCTTATATAACAGATATTAACATGATATATTTAAATTGAAAAGTCATGGTTCTATTGAAGGATGCTAAGGATATGAGAGACAGAATATTTGAGCAACATGGAAGTCTTAAGGAAAATAGGAAGGAAAATGACTCTAGGCCCTGAAAGTGACAGTTGACATTTCTAGTATATATAATGAGGAAAGCAGGCTCGGAGAATTCAACATGGGACATATTGCAGGCAAGAGGGGCAGAGGGAAACACTGAATAACTTAACGAGTTTGTGTAAATGGATGGCAGAACAGGGAATGGCTGAGAGGTGTAGTAAGGGGGCAGACACTGCTTAGAGCTACAAAGAATAGGATGTTAGGGAGGGCTATGTATGTAACTTTGTGAATGTTTAAAAACTGTGAAAGCTTTTGCATTATTTCTATCTTTATATAAACAAAGTTATGGACACCTAAGGATATTTACAAGTCTTATCTTGATGTGGCACAAGGCAACTACAGTGGAGCACTCAATGTCACACAAGCTCTCCTTACACTACTCTATTGCTATTTCCATGGAAAATGTTCAGATGAACTACATTCATTAGTTCCACCAGTTCAAACCGTTACACCTACCATATCATGTACACGGGGGTGTGAACATCCACAATCTTTTTATATTTCACTGGTAAGAAGGTAAGAACCTCTGTAATGTGAAATGGGCTCCCGAGAGGATACTTCCCTGATCAGTACACTCTTAATTGCTTTAAGTCTAAGGTCAATCATTATATTTCCTATATATCCACATAATCTACAATTATACATTCATAAAATAGCTGAGAATTAGTAACCCACTACCTTGAGTATAGCAATAAATTGCAATAGCATAAATTAATGGTATGGAACCCACATTTTTTGAGGGCCACACATCAAATACTTTCATGCTGTCTGGGGAAGTTGACATCTTGTTGTTGTTTATGCCTCGTGATTCCTTCACAACAACACCTCTCCAACGAACGTGGTTCCGGGTGATCCTCTTCAGTTCGGCCCATGTCGTGCTGGCTGCCTCAAGTCTGTTTTGGCGATCCACATTTTGCTTTCCTTGTGGATTACAGATAAGGGCTTGCCCAGTGACACAAGAAGTTTGCGGAAGGTGTGGCTGACCCATCACCATTTCTGTTTCTTGATGTCATTCTTGAATGTGGCCTGTCTGGTCTTGTCCTGCAGTTGGTCGTTGAAGATGACTTCTAGCCACCTGATATTGAGGATGTACCTGAGACATCGGTTGGTAAATGTCTGAAGTTTGTGGGTGAATGGTCTTGGTTACCTGCCAGGTTTCTGAGCCGTAAAGTAGGACCAAATTAACGGTGTTGAAAATCAAGATCTTGTATGTGGAAGCAATATTCAAAGCAAGGATGAATGGTAGACTTATAAATATGGTAGATTCTTATTTTAAAATAAATATATAAGAGAAGCACCAGACCAGACGTGGCAGAAGGATGAATGGTAGACTTATAAATATGTAAGATAGATTCTTTTTTGATTTTATCAAGAATCTCTAAATATATAGCAGAAGCACCAGGCCAGATAGAATATTCAAAGCATGGATGAATGGTAGACTTATAAATATGGAAGATAGATTCTTCTTTGGATTTTATCAAGAATCTCTAAATATATAGCATAAGTACAGGACCAGATGAGGCAGCAATATTCAAAGCAAGAATGAATGGTAGACTTATAAATATGTAAGATGGATTCTTCTTTGGATCTTATCAAGAATCTCTGAATAATATATAGCAGAAGCACCAGACCAGATGTGGCAGCAATATTCAAAGCAAGGATGAAATGTAGACTTATAAATGTACAAGATGGAATTCTGATGAGAAACATTTTCTGGAATGATGCAGTGAATTAACTTTCCTAGCAGAATTTTGGGACTTGTATTAGGGGAACATTTTGAGCTGAATCATCCCCCATTCCCTTTGTATTGTAGAACTGCCTCCAATGAGGATGCATCCCCAATCGCTCATTGAGTTTAGGGTCCACTGTTATCTATCCTACATATCCTAATAATATATACTTACTGCTACTTCTTACATTTATATAACCTCATTCAGTAACCCTCTGCCTTGAGTGGTTCTTGGGCCTTGTTTTGAGTAGCCTCAAGTAAATGAATAATTAATAAAAAAATGCAAAATAAAATATGTGCTGCTCTACTGTAGGCATCCTACAGATTTAAGCATAAATCTCATTATTTAAAAGTCGGTTTTGACACAGAATGGGGTGAAAATCTTTTGAATGCAAAGTTCAAAGCCGCAAAGAAAGTTCTAGTAAGTAGCAGCCAAAAATCTCAAAAAAAAAAAAAAATTGGGTGGGGGTGAGTACAGAAGGTATAGCCAATCCTTGACCCTCCTTTCTCTCCCCTCACCTTGTAATTGGTTCATTTGCATAATTAAGCTTGATTACTTGAACTATAGAAGGGAAAACAAAGTGTGGAATGGTGGGGTGCAATTGGCAACTTGAATATTGCAAGCTTAGAAAGAAAGAGTTGAGATCTGGGGAACTTTTCATGAGGGAAGTGGATGGAATTCTCAAAGGGATAGGTCTCTGAATACAAAACATAAAATGAGAAGGAGAGGGGGCTGTTAAAAAGGGAGCAAAGAAAGGGAGAGGAGATAAAAAGTCATAGGAAAAGAAGGGAGGAAAGACTAGAAAGGATAAATAAGAAAAGAAGAGAGAGAAGGATGTAAAAGATAAGAAAGAAGGAAGAGATGAGAGGAAAGACTGGAAAGAAGAGAGGATAGAGAGAAAAAGAAGAGAGAGAAAGAACATAGATAAAAGAAAAGAGAGAAGGAAGGAAAAGACGAGAGGAGAGACTGGAAAGGAGGATGCATAGGAAAAGAAGATAGATGAAAGAGGATAGAAAGAAAAAGAAGAAGGAGGAAAGAAGATTGATAAGAAAAGAAGAGAGAGAAGGAAAAGATGAGAGGAAAGACTAGAAAGGATAGAGAGAAAAAGAAGAGAGAGAAAAGGAAAGAGAGGAAGGAAAGAAAAGATGAGAGGAGGGACTGGAAAGAAGGGAGGATACATAGGAAAAGAAGATAGAGGATAGATAGAAAAGAAAAGAGAGGAAAGATAGATAGGAAGAGAAAAGAGAGAAGGAAAAGATGAGAGGAAAGACTGAAAAGAAGAGAGGATAGAGAGGAAAAGAAGAGAGAGGAAAAGAAGAAAGAGAAGGAAGTAAAAGATGAAAGGAGAAAATGAAAAAAGGGAGGATAGAGAGAAAAAGAAGAGAGAGAAAAGAGGATAGGAAAAGATGAGAAAGAAGAGAAAGGTGAGAGGAAAGTCTGGAAAGGAGAGAGGATAGATAGGAAAAGAAGAGAGAGAAGGAAAGAATAGATGAGACAGAAAGAAGGAAAAAATTAGAAGAGAGAAAATAAAAGAAAAGATGACAGAAAGGAAAAGAGAGAGAAAAAGAAGGAAGAGATGAGAGGAGGATGGAAAAGATGTTAGTAGAGAAAGGAAAAAAGATATGAGTGAAAGATAAGAAGAGATAAGAGAAAGGAAAAAGGGGAGAGAATGAAAACGAAGATAGGAGAGATAGGAAAAACATAGAGAAGGAAGGAAAATAAGAGATGAGAGACAGAAAGAAAAAAGAGATAAGGAAGGAAAAGAAGAGATGAGAGACAGAAAGAAAAAAGAAGGTAAGGAAGAGAAAAACTGGATAAAGAGAGGAATGAAAAGAGGAAAAGAAAGCTATCAAAATAGAGAAAAGCATGGAAAGAGGAGAGACAGGAAAAGAGAGAGAAGGAAGGAAAAGAAAAAAATGAACAAAAAAGTATAAATTAAAAAAAAATGTGCAAAGAGGAGGAAGGAAAAGAAGAAAAGACAGTGAAGGAAAGGTGAGGAAAAGAAGGAAATATATAAAGAAAAGGGTTGAAAAGAAGAAAGTGAAGGAAAGAAAGAAAAGTTGGAAGAGGATGGAAAAGAAGAGGGAAGATAAAGACAAAAAGGAAAAGAAAGAAAGACAGCAGAGAAAATAAGGCAGCGCACAGGAAAAAAAAAGGTTGAATGTAAGATGCATAAATACCAATGTCATTTGGTAAAGATTAATTTTGGAGATGCAAAATACATAAAGGAGAAAAATTGTATATTTTTGTAAAAAAAGAAATAAAGAAGAGAAATGCAAAAGAGACAAAAGAAAAAGACAGGCAGAAGCGGAGATATGATAAAGAAAGAAAAAGAATAAGAGAAAAAAGGAAGAAGAAGAAACAAAAGAAAAGGAGTCTGATACAAAGACCAAAAATAAGGAGGAGTTGAGTGGAGATAAAAGAAAGAGACAAGAAGAAACAAAAGTAAGAGAGACAAGAGAGATGAAAAAGAAAGGAAGACAAGCAGAAAAAAAAAGAAAGACAAGTTGGGGGAAAAAAGAAAAAGGGATAACTTGATAGAAAAATGGAGAGACAAGTGGCGACACAATAAAGAGAGAGAGAAGTGAGGACACAAGAAAGAGGGAGACAAGTGAGGACACAAGAAAGAGAGAGACAAGTGAGGACACAAGAAAGAGAGAGACAAGTGAGGACACAAGAAAGAGAGACAAGGAGGACACAAGAAAGAGAGAGACAAGTGAGGATACAAGAAAGAGGGAGACAGACAAGAAAGAGGGAGACAAGAACAGAAAGAGAGACAAGTGAGGACACAAGAAAGAGAGAGACAAGAAAGAGAGAGACAAGAGACACAAGAAAGAGAGAGACAAGTGAGGATACAAGAAAGAGAGACAAGGGGATACAAGAAAGAGAGAGACAAGTGAGGACACAAGAAAGAGAGAGACAAGTAGGACACAAGAAAGAGGGAGACAAAAGAGAGAGAGAGACAAGAGGACACAAGAAAGAGAGACAAGTGAGGGACAGAAAGAGAGACAAGTGAGGATACAAGAAAGAGAGAGAGACAAGAAAGAGAGAGACAAGTAGGACACAAGAAAGAGAGAGACAAGTGAGGACACAAGAGAGAGAGACAAAGAAAGAGAGAAGTGAGGATACAAGAAAGAGAGAGACAAGTGAGGACACAAGAAAGAGAGAACAAGAGGATACAAGAAAGAGAGACACAAGGACACAAGAGAGAGAGAGACAAGTGGACACACAAGAGAGAGAGAGGACAAAGAAAGAGGAGACAAGGAGGATACAAGAAAGAGAGAGACAAGTGAGGATACAAGAAAGAGAGAGACAGAGACAAGTGAGAGAGAGACACAAGGAAAGAAAGAGAGAGAGACAAGTGAGGATACACAAGAGGGGAAAGAGAGACAAGTGAGGACACAAGAAAGAGAGAGACAAGTGAGGACACAAGAAAGAGAGAGACAAGTGAGGATACAAGAAAGAGGGAGACAAGTGAGGACACAAGAAAGAGAGAGACAAGTGAGGACACAAGAAAGAGAGAGACAAGTGAGGACACAAGAAAGAGAGAGACAAGAGGATACAAGAAAGAGAGAGACAAGTGGGATACAAGAAAGAGAGAGACAAGTGAGGATACAAGAAAGAGGGAGACAAGTAAGGACACAAGAAAGAGAGAGACAAGTGAGGACACAAGAAAGAGAGAGACAAGTGAGGACACAAGAAAGAGAGAGACAAGTGAGGACACAAGAAAGAGAGAGACAAGTGAGGATACAAGAAAGAGAGAGACAAGTGAGGACACAAGAAAGAGAGACAAGCACAAGGGGCAAGAAGAGAGACAAGAGGACAGGTGGGGCAGAAGAAAAGAAAGACATGTGGGACACAAAACAGCAAAAAGAGAGAGACAAGTGAGACACAAAGAAGAGAGAGACAAGTGAGGACACAAGAAAGAGAGAGACAAGTGAGGACACAAGAAAGAGGGAGACAAGTGAGGACACAAGAAAGAGAGAGACAAGTGAGGATACAAGAAAGAGAGAGACAAGTGAGGACACAAGAAAGAGAGACAAGCAGGGGCAGAAGAAAGACAGACAGGTGGGGGCAGAAGAAAAAGAGACATGTGGAGACAGCAAAAAGAGAAAAGTCAGACACAAGAAAGAGACATGTGGAGACACAAGAAAGAGAGACAAGTAGGAACACAAGAAAGAGAGACAAGTGGGGACACAAGAAAGAGAGACAAGTGGGGACACAAGAAAGAGAGACAAGTGGGGACACAAGAAAGAGAGACAAGTGGGGACACAAGAAAGAGAGACAAGTGGGAACACAAGAAAGATAGACAAGTGGGGACACAAGAAAGAGAGACAAAGACAAAAGAGAGTCAAAAAACAAAAAAAGAGACAAAAGAAATACTGTGACAAATGAGAGATAGACAGCCATGATAAAAGTGAAATCTATACAGTGGCAAGAGAGAGGCAGATGCAGGGACAAAAAAAAAAGGATAATAAGTCAGAAAGAGAGACAAGAGAGAGGAATGAAACAGGGATATGAGAAAGAGAGATGAAAAGAGGGGAGTGAAAGAGACAAAAAGAGAAATGTGAAAAAAAAAACAGGAGAGAAAGTGAGGTAGACTCAAGGTGAAGAGGACAAAAGAAAGACAAAAGAGCAAAGACAGAAGTAAAAGAAAAAAGGTGGGGCAGAAGTGAGGTACAGATAAAGAGGGAAAGACAAAGGAAAAGTGAAAGGTAGAAGATACACAACAGAAGGAAATATAGGTGAAACCAGTTATGCACAAGACTGATCAAATCAGGGTAGGGGTACATTTGTTGGGGAGACACAATTTTGGTGATCACTGCATCATAGTAAACTAATGTGGGTAGTAAGGCATGTCATTGCATCAAGTAAAACTATAAGAATTTATTCTCCCTTAATTTCCTCCTCTGCACCCCCACCCAAACAACCATACCAAATTTAAACTTCCCAAAACAGGAGTGGCCAGGTCAGGCCTGACCAAAAAAAAAATAACCAATTCACTAGTACCTCCCAACCTATGAGTACACCCCACCCCCGTCGTGCACAGCCTTGTGTAACATTCCCACGGTTCTTTATCCAATCAATGTGATCATCATGAGATTGACCCCTCATTAGGCACCCAGAAGCAAAAGCCTGGGAAAATCTGATAAGCGGCTAATTCTTTCCAAATAGGCAAGCACTGTTTTGCCATTATTTTCATCATTACTTATGACTTTGGGTAGATAAAGCATCAGTGAAGTCTTTTGGTACCCACCCTTAACCCAACCTTCATCGACACAAGAAAGCAGTAAGTGTCAAAAGTACTTACATTTGTAAACAGATTATTTCATTATTACTTATTTGCTTCACTCCTCAGTCTTACTAACTCACTTTACCCAGAAATATTTTCAAAAGATCACATTTGCTTTTCTGTTTACCCTGAGGTAGAGTAGGCAATTCCAACATGCAATCCACAAAACAAAAAGTTCAGAAAAAATATCCGCAAAGCAATTTCAAGTATTGTGAAAGAAAACTCCTTTTTTTTTTTTTTTTTTTTATATTGCTGTCAGGCAAAATATAACAAAAAAATTAGTTGTGTTAAACTTTGCTTTTGTTCGGTGACTCTTTTATCTTAAGCAATGTATTTTGACGTCAGTTTCTTGAATTTCTTCTTCCCATCTACTGTTGACGTTCGTTTTAGTTATCCTTATTATCCAAAATAATTTTAGGGTGATCTGCAACAAAACCAGGGAAGACCCAGATATCTTTACCAGGTATGGGTAACCTTTTCCGACTATTGGGCCACATCAGATATGGCTCATCATAAGAGAGCCTGCATTATTAAAAAGTTTCAAGGTAATTTTCTGTTGAAGCTGTCTCAGCCACTTTCATCACAAAAACCGTACGCGTAAGCATCTGCCATAGAAATGGTGAAAGGTTGATTGTTTCAGGAGAAAAGATTTCTCAATAATTAAAAAATCAATTCTCAATATAATTTTATCACAGATTTTTATCAAACAATGTTGCATGTGATTTGTTTCTTATTTATTCATTTGAAAATACAAAAAATTATTTTTAAATTAAAAAATATACTTCTTCTCTTGAGAAAAAATATGTTTCTTCTCCAAAAATGTATTTCTTCTGCAGACGAAAAATTATTATGAACACCCTGTTTCTGAAGCAAATGATATTTACACACATGGTCTTCTTAAGTGAAAATCACCAATCGTTTAAAATGAAAAAAACGTTACCTTCAACGAAAAGTTAGAAAATTCAAGAAACACTGTGCTTAATCATTGTTTATGTATGGGGTTATGTCTGAGAGAGTATGTGAGTGAACAAGTGAGGACAAAATGAAATAAACAAAATTTTAATAAAGCTTATTTTCTTCATGGAATTCTGCATGCTTTTCAGTAAAGCCAAATGGGCCACATGTCACCCATGGGCCACACTTTGCCCATGACTGATCTATACAATGACTACTGTAGACTAATCTATCAACAGTCTTGTCTTCTTTAGAGTTCAATTTATTGAGAATCTTCTTGACACCTGCTCTCCAGGTTTCCTTGGCCATCCTTTGAAATGAAAACCTCATAGTATTTGTGTGGTCAGCAACAAATCCAGGGAAGGAATACTCAGATAGCTATACAATAACTACTGTACACTAATCTATCTACAGACATATCTTCTTTCGAATTCAGTTTATTAAGATTATTCTTGACACCTTCTCTCCAAGTTTCCTTGGCTATCCTTTGACATGAAACCATCATAATCTTTGGGTGGTCGGCAACAAATCTAGAAGAGGGTAGCCCAGACATTTATTTATTTATTTGACAGTAAGGTTTACCCTGTACAAAGTCCAGAGGCCACTCAAGGTAGAGGGTCACATGAAGAGGCAGTTTATACAGATAGGAGAGGTAAATGATGGTTAGCCCTAGACTTGAACAGCTTAAGATAGTAATGATCAAGGAAATATCCTCTTGGGAGTCAGTTCCATGGTTCATGCTCCAGTGGAACTTATTTCTCTCCGATGGAATATAGAGGGAATGTGGGTGGTTTGCTACTATGGGCATGGCATGGTGTGTCCTTACCATGAATGTTAGGACTGGTAAAACCAAGGAATGCAGTTTGTCTGAGAACTTTCCTTGGAAGTAGCGACAGAACAGTGAGACGCTTGCCACATCCCACCTGTGAAAGAGTGGTTGCCGTGTGGAAAATAATTTGTCAGCCACAAGATGCTTTTGGACTGTATCAAAACTGAAAAGTGAGGACTGGGCAACTTCCACTCAAATATGACAATAATTCTCCATTTTTGGCCTGATCTGGGTCTTGTAAAGGTAGGGGCTAGCATGAGGAGTGATGCAGGGATGCAAAATTTTTTCCTGCATCTTTAGTGATAGTTTGTATGTACAAGTTCCACTTGAGTTCAGGGGTAAGTTTAAGGCCCAGTAGTCTCTCAAGGCATGGAACTTCCCAAAGCGGACAACAGCTGATTGTGAATGGTGATAGTTCGGAGTTCAATCAGCAGTGATGGAGGGTAACTCATTTGGTTTTTGAGGCATTGAATGTAACCAACCACCTGAAGAAGGTCGGAGTGTACAACAGCCGAAATGTTGTGAATATGGTAATGAAAATGAGGATAACAGTCTGAGTAATGTAAATAATGCAAGTAATAATAATACCTCATCTTAGAGATCCATTCACCTGAAGAAGGCCGGAGTGTACAACGGCCGAAATGTTGTGAATATGGCAATGAAAATGAGGATAACAGTCTGAGTAATGTAAATAATGCAAGTAATAATAATACCTCATCTTAGAGATCCATTCACCTGAAAAATATGGCAATAAAATGAGGATAACAGTCTGAGTAATGTAAATAATGCAAGTAATAATAATACCTCATCTTAGAGATCCATTCACCTGAAGAAGGCCGGAGTGTACAACGGTCGAAATGTTGTGAATATGGCAATGAAGATGAGGATAACGGTTTGAGTAATGTAAATAATACAAGTATTCTTAAGGTTGTTGTTCACATCTCCTCTCAAGGATTCTTTAACTATCCTTTGCAAGGAAATTACAGCAACAATTCCTGAGGAAGATTTTGTCAAAAAATAACAAAGATTTATTGGAAAGTTTATAGCATCTTATTGAAAAGAGTGTGAGAAGCTCTACAAACAATTGGTATATGTAACAATTCACTTTGAATATGTAAGTATGAACTAGCTTTTGTTTGCTTTTTTTAATCATTTCATCCCAAGCAAGGTGATAATGCCACTAAGACACAAATGAGAGTGAAAGAGAATGAAAAGATTTCAGAAGGAACCAGAAATACAATTGCACATGATTTCAAACAGATTACAAAGGAAATCCTTATCAATACAAGAAAAAGAAATAATATTTTTTGGACTTTTTTTAAGACAGATTTTATAAATTACAAGCAAAAGTATCACCAGCTGATAGGTCAATGAATGCAGAATGTTTTCTTATAAGGGAACAGCTAATATTACCATTAGAGATCAGGAAAACAGATACTACACAACCCATTTGCCAGTGAAGGAATTCTGTAGGTCTTGGCAAGGACCATCATTTTTCAAACCACTGGGACTGGTACTATAGAATTATAAAGAACTGTACCAAATGCTAGAAACCAAATCACTTGAGGACTTTCAACAACAGCAACAACTAAAATGTATAGCACATGTAGCTGAAAAAGAAAATAATGACATCATCAAAATGTTGACATTCTACAGTACTTTCAAAAAAGGTTAAGTGGGAACCCCCAGGAAAACTGGAAAGAGCAATAAAAGCTACTGGATTTGAGAAAGCCAATTTTCCCCAAAAATTTTTTAAGAGAAAGATTTTATAAATTGCAACTGGCTGCTCAATCAATAAATGCCAAATGTTTCATTCTAAGGAAACGGCTAATATTACCATTATCATTAGAGATGAGGAGAACAGATACTACACTTTGATCCCAGCCCAATGGCCAGGGAGTGAAGAAAAGCCTTACTTGAGTAGCGCTGGCTGCTTGGTCAATGAATGCCGAATGTTTCATTAAAAGAAAACAGTTAATATTACCATTACCATTTGAGAGGTGGAGAACAGATACTACACTTTGAAGAAAAGCGAACCCATCTGCTCGATCAATGAATGCCGAATGTTTCATTATAAGGAAACAGAGATGAGGAGAACAGATGAATCCTGAAGGCAGTGAAGAAAAAGCGTAACGAGTAGCACTGGCTGCTCGGTCAATGAATGAATGTTTCATTATAAGAAACGGCTAATATTACCATTAGAGATTTCAGATACTACACTTTGATCCCATCCCGATGGCCAGGGAAAGAAAAAGCGCACTGGCTGCTCGGTCAATGAATGCAATTATTATAAGAAAACGGCTAATGTTACCATTAGAGAGAAACAGATACTACACTTTGATCCCAGCCTGATGGCCAGTGGATGAAGAAGAGCCTTACTTGAGTAGCACTGGCTGCTCGGTCAATGAATACTGCATGTTTTCATATAAGGAAATGTCAAATATTGATATAAACATTACCATAATGTTTCACTATCTCTTACCATCTTCAGACAACTCCATCCAACTGGTTTTCACATATTCCATCCTGCATACTTTGAATATCTTATATCAGTCATATATATATATATATATATATATATATATATATATATATATATATATATATAATATAACAACCATTTTGAGCATCAGACCTGGGCTTGAATGTCATCATGGTTGATTTTTTTCAGGAAGGTGACTTTTTCATGTTTATTGCTCTGGAGAAAAATTCTGGTGTGTGGCACCTTTGAAAAGTACCTGAAAACCAGATGTCAAGTTGATCCATATCATGTGGGTGAAATCAGGTAGATGGAAATATTTGGGAGCCATCAGTGGTTGTGCTTGCACAAAATCACAAGTCATCCTAAGTGAGGATTTGAGCACACTGGCTTTGTAAAAAATGTATGATCATGCCAGATAGTGTGAAGAAGAATCACGCTATATTTCTCTGACCATATATGGAAACCTAGCAAACTATCTGTAATATACTTGTGGATAATACAAATATAATAGTCTCATCCACATGTAAATAGTGGCTAAAAATGATGGGAGCAGTAATAAAAAAAAAAGAGAAAAAGCCAACACTCATTAATAACAACTATGAACATGGCCAAAATATGCTGACCATGTTTGAAAAATAAAACATTCCTAGAACTCTAGATACATGCATAAAACAATCCATATATTCAGTTAGCAGTAAAATAAAATTTGTCATTGATAATGGCTAAAAGTATAGCCGAAAACGCTTGGAAAACATTCGAATAGTTTTTATACAATTTGTGTCCTGAAAAGAAAAAAAATATACGAACACATGAATATAAAAAAACTCAACTGCCACACCTTGCCAGTTGTTTTCAATGAAACCTGTATAAAAGAGAGATTGCTACCTAAATACACAATTTATACTCACAAACACATGCAACAATATAGAGGGTGTTGCAGCAAAATCCGACACTTGACAAAAAGAAAACAAAATAGGCAATAAAAACAAAAGTTGTATATGAATATACCTGACAGTTTGACAACTAACGTTTTTCTCTCTAACCTTTTCCAGGATGGAATATGAGTGCAGAGCAGCGGTAGTAGCTTCTTTTTGTGTCGGGAAAAAGTCTGCGGAAGTGAAGGCCTGGTTTGGGTTCAAGAGGACCATGGTCATGGACATTTGGAGGATGTGGAAGGTGTGTGAGAAGAAGGACGAATTCACTGCCAAATGAAAGGCTCACAAAGTTTGTTCTTCGGCCGTTAGGACCAACGCGTTCGTTGCCACAGTCAAGGAGACAGTTGACAATGATGGAAGCCCGAGCTACGCCAAGATTGCTACTGACACAACAAGTCGACAATCTGCCGAACCGATCAAGAAGGACATTGGTTATTCTCCTACCGCTAGTCTCACCGCATGCTCATCATGAATGCCTCCAAGGAGTCAAGGAAGGTCAGGGCAGCAGCTTTGGTAAACAAGCTTAAGTACGGGTCCGCCGGGATGCTGAGGTTCTTCTCTGATACAAAGATTCCCTCCTCCATCATGGTCCTTGGCATCATCTCCAGCGAGGGGGACATCATGCCTCTGTTCTTCTTTCAAAAGGGCCTGAGAGTCACCGCCGAGATCTACCAGGAGGTGCTGAGAAGCGTGGTGAAGCCCTGGATGGACGAGATCGCCACCGGACGCCCCAACATCTTCCAGCATGACTCAGCTCCTGCACACAAGGCCAAGACGACCCAGGCATGGCTGCTCAACAATGTTCCTCACCACTGGTCATTGGACTTATGCCCACCCTCCTCACCTGACTACAAACTACTTTATTTCTTCTGGAGCGTGATCAAGGTTGACTCTCTGAAGGCTGCCATCGTGGAGGCGTTCATCACTATCGACAAGGACATGGTTGCCAAAGCATGTGACTCATTTCGCACCCGCCTTGAGATGCTCGTCGCCGCCGGCCGCCCTCCTCACCCAACTGCAAACCACTTTATTTCTTCTGGGGCGTGATCTAGGTCAAGACCAACAAGCATGCCCACAACACGGTCGACTCTATGAAGGCTGCCATTGTGGAGGCGTTCGTCACTATTGACAAGGACATGGTCGCATGTGACTCATTTCGCTCCCACCTTGAGATGGTCGTCACCGCCGGTGGCGGTTACATTGAAAAATAATGTAGTATGTAACTCTAACTGTTGCTAAATAAACTGTCAGGTCTCTGCATATACAACTTTTGTTTTTATTGCCTATTTCGTTTTCTTTTTGTCAAGTGTCGGATTTTGCTGCAACATTCTCTATATTAATAAATATACATTTTTTCTCACTGGTAGCACAATTCAGAGTTTTATGCTGAAGGTGCTTGAATATATAAAATACTAGCAGCATGGCCAAAGTTGCCCGTGCTTGATTCAAAAATCGTACGACTCATACAGCAATCGCTATCACTTGACTTAAAATATTTTTGCCCTTCCTTGCCTTTAAATGTTGCTACATGCCTTACTTCTTGCCTATCACACAATGCGAATTTTTTCTAAGCTCTATACTAAACATTAAATCTGTTACGAAAAAAGAACTAAACAAAATGAACGCAAAACGATCAGCTTTAAAAAAGGACTTGTAACTGGAAAAACCGAATGAAAAAAAGAATGTTAACAACAGATACTTTTTCACACCCAACCCAGTTCTGGAATCAGAATCAACATTGAGTTTAAGCAATTAATGAGCCAATTGGAGTAAAGTGCCATGCAGATTTAAATTTTTCCCCACTTGTGACGAATGCAGCTCTTGATTTTTTTTGCATGCTAGTTAACATTCATGTCAGTCAGTTGTTGGCTCTTACATTGGCCAATAGAATCTTCCTGCCTATTCGTGGAAGCCAGCTATAGGCTCTCACTCTTGCCAGTAGAAAATGGCTACAAACTACATGAAAACTGCCGTAGAAGCATGAAAAAATCGATTATTTCCACTATCGATGGGAGTTGGGAAATGCAAAGTCAGTCTTGGCCTTCTTGCTAACTTGGAGCATGTGCATGTAAATTTTGGTGCAAATCCGTCGAAAATTGTGGCCGTGCATTTGTTACACACATATACACATCCTGCCTTTTATAGATAGAGATGTCCTGTAAAGAAAAAAAATTATAGGAACACATGAAAAATTATATAAAAAAACTTAAGCACAGCACCTTGTCAGTCGTTTTTAATGTTTATAATATTGTATGTGTGAAGTAAAGAATAAGTTTAGGTTAAGTATTAGGGGAATAAAAAGATCTAACTAATAAACAGTCATGCGTGTTACTAGACATATATTGTATTTCTAAAACACCATTGGATAGGGTCAGTTGACAGTCACAAATCCCATTGAGTTAGGATCAGCAGTGTCATCACAAAAAAAGTAAAAGAAGAAGGATGTAGCAGGTTTGAGTGACTTTTCATTCAACCATGAATTAACAAATCAGCAGTTACCAAGAAGGCGAGGTTTCCTTGTTTCTCCACCAAAGATTTTTCAATGAGAAATTTTGCTACTTATCAAGCATTTAGTCTAAAATAGCTAGATAGTAATGAGCAACAATATTGGCTGTCTCTCTCTCTCCATCGCTGATGAGTAGTCAGTAAAATTTCCTGACTAAGAGCTACAAAAGTAGTCAGTACAGCTTATACATGTTAAGTTATTTAACACTATGAAAAAACCCCCAAAAACACTAATTTGATTTTCAGTAAGAAGCAGAAACAATATCTATTACCAACTTGTGGGTAACTTTGCTATATTGGTCTCAGGAAGGCCGACTCAGCCAGCAACAAGATGACAGTGTCTGCTAAACAAACTGTCAAGGGGTGTGGCCTGTCACATACACGCACACACACATATATATATATATATATATATATTGTGTGTATTTAGGCAGCATTTTTTTTATTCATACATGTTTCATTAAATAATATAGACAAGCATTGTCTATCTATTTTATTTACATAAAATAAATAGACAACACTTGTCTATATTATTTAATGAAATATATATATATATAGTGTGTGTGTGTGTGTATTTAGGTGGCTCTTCTTTTATACATGTTTCATTAAAGATGACTGACAAGATATTGCAATTAAGTTTTTATTTGATTTTCTTGTGCTTGTACAAGGGTTTTCTTTTCTGGACAAAAAATGTGTAAAAAACTGTCCAAAATTTCTGCATATCCAAGTCCTTATGGCTATAATTTTAGCCATTATCAAGGATGATTTTACTTTTAACTGAATGAATCGGTTGTGTTGTGTATGAATGTAGAATTATAGGAAATATATTAGAGAAAACTCAAGAAGTTTAAACAAAAGACTATATGAACACAAAAAAATAGATTAAAAAAGAACACCACACAAGACACATTGGTTGTTCACCATCACAAAACTGACCACAATTTCAACATAAAAAAAATGCTCCTCTAATTAAAAGAGAAAATAATTCACTGAAGCGAAAATGTCTGGAAAGCTCTTTAATCGTTAATTCAACCACAGTGGAGTATTTAAAAACAAAGGTGATTAAAAGAAATATAATATAGATGAATTTGGCTAGATTGCAGGAAATTTTGAAACTACAATATAAAAACTCACGCACACACACACACACACATATATATATATATAAACACAGACATATATATAAACAAACACACACATATATAAACATACAAACACACATATATATATCACACACACACATATATATAAATGCACACAAACACACACATACATAAACACACACATATATAAACACACAAACACACACATATATATATATATACGCACGCAACACACACACACATATATATATATGAAACACACACAAACATGCACACACATACATATATAAACACATACAAACATGCACACACACATATATAAACACACACAAACATGCACACACACACACATATATGTAAACACACACATATTTAAAAAACATATATAGAAACACACATACACATATATATATATATATAACACACACAGACATATATTCATTTAAACACTCATATTTATATGTATAAAACACACATGCACACAGACACATATATATATATATATATATATATATATATATATATATATATATATATAAAACACACACATGCACACATATATATATATATATATATATATATATATATATATATATAAAAACACACACACATACATATATATATTAACCTCCCCCCATACATATATATATATATATACATAGAGGGTGACAATAAAGTCATTATACAGTTACATATAATAAAAAAGCAAAGCATTGAATCAGGTGGCTTGCAGTTTGAAGAGTATCGGTAATTAATTTACTATTATTTACCAGAGCATTTTATTGTTATTCACCAGAACCATTTTAATAACAAACTTCTGGACTGTTGATTACTGTTGTGAATTTATTGCCACACTGTATATACACACAAAAACACACACACATATATACATATAAATACAAATACACACACATATATATATATAAAAGTACATATGAATACACACATATATACATACATACATACATACACACACATACATATATACATACATACACACACACACAAATATATATATATATACAAACACACACATATATATACACAAAAACACACACATATATACATATACATACAAATACACACACAGACACATATATATATATATATATATATATAAAGCACATATGAACACACACATATATACATACATACAAACACACACATATACATACACACACACATATATATATATACAAACACACTCATACACAGACATATATATATACACAAAAACACACACATACATATATACATATACATACAAATACACAAACATATATATATAAAAGTACATATGAACACACACATATATATATATATACATACAGACAAGCATGCACATACATATATATATATATATATATAAACACACACATAGATATATACATATAGACACACACAGAGATATATACATACAAACACACACATATATACACATACAAACACACACATATAACATATACATACATATATATACATATATTTACATACAAACACACACATATATACACATACAAACACACACATATAACATATACATACATATATATACATATATTTACATACAAACACACACATATATACACATACAAACACACACATATAACATATACATACATATATATACATATATTTACATACAAACACACATATATACACATACAAGGACACACATATAACATATACATACATACATATATATATACATATAAACACACACCATATTATTCAGTTCTATATTCTGTAATTTTCTATTTTTTATTGTCATTTTGTTTAGATGTATAGATTTGATTACTTATATATATATATATATATATATATATATATATATATATATATATATATATATATATATATATATGTGTGTGTGTGTGTGTGTGTGTGTGTGTATATATTGCATTGTGTTGATTATATTATGTTACATTATTTAATTTATATTACTTTCTGTTGCATTTGTTATATTATGTTATCTTAGTTAAAATGTCTGCATTTACCCATTAATTCATTTTTCTTGTTTAATAATTTAATTTCATTATGGAAATTTATTATATAAAATTTTTCTTCTAGACACAGTCTACATTTTCTATTATTAACATTACATGGAAGAATTATTTTTTATGATTTCCCATTGAATTTCACTTGATATATTTTTTTTCTATTTTGACTATTTTGCATATTTTGATAATGTTGTGTTATTTGCCTATCTATTTTAAATGACATTTTACAATTATTAAATCTTTCTTTAAAAGTTGTTTCAGTTGCTCCTATATAATTTGTTTTAATGTTATTTAATGCAGTTGCTTTATATATTATATTATTAGTTAGACATTTATTAAGTGGGCAGTTTTTATTTTGAAAATTAAATTATTGTTACTATTTTGTGGGTTTTTGTCATTGTAATTGCTGTTATTTTGGTTTAATTTTTTTTACTATATT